GCTTTTTTTTTTGCTCAGTGTTTCAGTTTTAAGGCAAATTTACTGTACAATTCCGTCTCTCATGTCTCATTAATCCCATGTCAGGCCAGTCGTTTTCAGCAAGCAAGCTGTGGTACACCTACTGTACCTGGCCTTGCATCAAGTAGCAGCCAGGAAAGATCAGTATAGATACTGATGAAGGTTGAAATGACAGCAGAAAGCCAGTTATATTTCTCAAATATTGGTAAAGAAGGAAAAGAAAAGTGAAATACTGTACTTCAGTTAGCCAGGTAGTGAGAAATCCAAATCCAAATACAGTGCAATGTTTATTTTTTGTCTGCTAGTAAGCAACCATTAGCTATCACGTTAGCCATAGCAACTTTATAAGGCAACATTTTTTTCTGATGCTGCAACAGTCACCTTAGTTAGTCGTTTTATGTCTTCTAGCAGCCATGTCTGTAAGGGTGCCAAATTTTTGGAAAATTTGCTGACAATATCTGTGGATGGAAGTTCATTTACCAAAATATTTTTACGATTATCCATTTGCCCAAGTGTGGACAGCAAAATTTAAAAAAACAAACTCAAATCAGCTCACGTTGACTGCCAGCAGCAGCCAATACTTCTGTTATAAAGTGGACAAAGAGGAAGAACCTCAATTACTGAGTCAGGCTCTGTGTGAGATCTGCAGTCATGTGGGACACTGAGAAGCTCCAGGAGAGCTTTGGCTCAGGCAACAGTTATATAGTCTGAACACAGGTACGGTAACATCTCTCACACCCACCCACACACCAAGTGCACACAAACACACATACACACACACACACACACACACACACATACATACATATCTGCCTGAGTCATCCCAAAGGCATTCAAACTACCTCACTAAAAGGAAAAAAGGAGGCGATAGAAAAAAGAAATACACTGCAGAACACACAAAAGGCTTCAGAGTGCACAGCTCAGTCTAGTGTCTCACATGCAGCCTGAGGCACTCGATTCAGGGTATGTACTGGAGCATCTTCAAACACCAGTGCTCATTAAGCTTCTACATTTACAAACACTGGGGTAAAAAGAAAGCCTCACCATCCTTTAAAACACCATATCCCTGATTGTTTTATATGTTTGCTTCACTGACCATATAAATGGAGGTCAAAGCACCAGTTTATTTGCAAAAGCTACTTCAATTCCTCTGCTGGTCTGCAATTAACAAAAACTAAAAAAAAAATTTAAAAAAAGAAGTTAAATCTCCTCTATACTTCCTAAGTAATTTTTCAAATTAAATATGTAAATGAAATCAATCACAACATCTGTATTTTCTCATCATGGCATTCAAAATAAATAATCACAGGTTGTTCCCTTGACGTACACCTGGCTGTGCCCATTTAGGTACAGTATACATTACTGTTTTCAGGTTTGAGAGTCTGTTTTGGAGTTTAGTAGACAAACAGCTGAAACGGAGGGGCAAAAAAAAAGAGAAAGAAAAATAAAACCATTTTGAAATTTGCCCTGATAATCTCAAACTCACATCTAAATACCGGCTGTTAGTGTCCATGGTATTACCGACAGTTTTAACCCAACACTACAGTTATTTCAGGTGTTTGGCAGGTTGGTTTTAATGATTTGCATGCGTTTACAGTTCAGTGATTTTTTTAATTTTACATAATAAGCTACAGAACTTCCGCACTGTGAAGTGGAAGGATGCATTAATGGACATCTCTCTATTCAGCCACTTGAATGCACAAGTTTACCCGCTGTTTACTCAGGCAGACTATGCTCAGTGCTGATCTAGTTTCCTTTTATACCATACTGCATGAGCATTCCCACCGACAACTGAAGGTGAGACTTCACTAAGTCACCTGTCAGCTTTGTTCAAGTCGGTGCTAATTAGATTCTTGTTATCTTTTCCACAGGCAAGGATTGTTTCTGCATTTGTTTTTAATCACTCATTCAAATCCTGTGGCATGTTAGCAATTACAGGTGTATCAGTCCTTCCATTTTCTAACCTGTTAAACATCAGAGAGGAAGGACAGGCCAACCAGGACAGGTCACTCGGCTATCACAGGTCTGACACGTATTGCTAGACAATCACACATACACATTCACACCTATGTGCATCCATAGGAGGAAACCAGAGCACCCAGAGAAAAGCCACTAGGAAAAATTATTATTTTCATTTGTTCAGGCTATAAAATATTTTAAAATAGTGAAAAGTCAAAAGAGATTACGCCTTCAAAATGGACTGTTCTGTACTAAAACAAATGTATTCAATTAACAATAGAAAAGAAAAAATGGTAAAAACCCTCACATTTGAGGAGGAAACTTTGTTTAATAAAAGGATGCATATTGAAAGTGCAGTCCATTAATTTTACGTTGACCAACTAATCAATTAATCAACTTAGAATTTCAGCAATTGATCTACTTATAATTTCACTAACTACACACAGTGAGGCTGGGTTTGAACACAGCACCTCCTTGAGTCACCACACGCAGGCAACAACAATCCAAACTAACTCTCAAAAAGCACTGACAAAATGTCCACCCTCAAACCATTCATGCCACACAAAAGAACGTTTATAGGAGGAAAAACTCTTTAAAAGTTCAGGGTTGGCAGATGCACTTGACATGTGGCACAACAATCAATTCTGTAACTGTTCATATGCCATTTCATTGACACTTTCATCAAAGGTGCTTTACAATAACAACACAGCACGACCTCAGTGTTGGCAGCATTTGAGCTTTTCACAATCCACTAAAACACAAAGCACTAGACAACAAACTGGGATCGATGCTATTTTTTTAAGCATTCTTGTGATGCAGGTTGGATAACAGCAGCAACTGAATAGAACCAGCGGACCACTAGAGAAACAAAAAGCACTGAATGCTACACTTTGATGGAGGTTATACAACCTTATAACCAATTTTAACACCTATTTGCAGTGTTAAACATTTTTGAGTATACTGTGACTAAATGTTTAACAGCTCGAATATTAAGTAATAAAACTCCATTTCATCACACGAGTGAAGCCGCTGAGAGCAAAGAGAAATTTTTTGCAGAACAAACAAAGTAATTGCTCCGCTTCACCTCCTCGTCATTTGGCTAAGCCACTGGCTGTGTTCTGAGTGTTAAAGCACATGTGCTCTGACCTTTTCCTTATCATAAATCACATACTACTGTTCTGCTGCCAGGATTTTATTTAACCCAATTTGTCACTGAGGACACCCCTTTCCACCCTCGCTGTAGATTCACACAGTGAGATGGGAGCGTGGGATTAGTGGGCGGATCAAAGCGTGCCATCCAGATCTATCTCTCGCCTTGTAATCATGGAAGTCAGTGGCTTCTGTGAGTCCAGGCCACTGGTGGTTTCCAGCCAAAAAGAAAGAAAGAAAGAAAGACTGGAGAGTGGGGTTTTAACTTAAAAAAAAAAAAAAAAAAAAAAAAAAAAAAAAAAAAAAAAAAAACAGCAACTTCTCACATTTGAGAATCTGAACCTCGAGAGTATTTGGAATTTTTCTTGATAAATTACTTCAAAATTGTTGCTGGATAAAATTCTTCTGGTCAACCAATTGATTATTTCTGGAAACAAAGGAAATGCAAGGAATGTTTACTAGAAAAAAGCAGCCAACAACACAGACACAGACTGAAGGGGAGAGATGTACTAGAAACATACACAATCACACGTTATTGTGACAGAAACAGGTCATGGGAGGTGTGTCAAGAATATAAGCCAAATGTGCTGTCAGCAGGCAATCATAGCTGTTTCGGCTTCTGTAGGCAAGGCCAGAAGAATAACCAAAAGCATTCTGCAAAGGGGGCAACCATGATCCATTCACTGTGCTAATTCACAGACTTCTTATAATATAGTTAAGGAGACTCAGCGGTACTTCACTGCAGACCTCAGATTGAATAAAAGTCAACAGAAATGTTTGCCATAGTGCAATTTTACTCTACTGCTGTGGTCATGTAAACTTCTCGTGAGACTTGACACTTCCTCATATTGACTCTGGAGGCTTGAATGAGCTGAGGTGGAGATGGAGCTTTACAGAAGCAGAGCCATGTAATATTTGGGATCCAAACCTCCAGTTGCACCACACCTATGGTAGAAGTGTGTTTCATTTTACTCTGATTACATAACAATATGGTTATTCATTGTTATGTTTGTCCACCAAGCATGCAAAGTAAACATCAGTTTGTCCCTCATCTTTAGTTTTGGATTTACAGTACCACCATGCAGTTGGTGTTTGCCAAAATGCCACGCCCACCGCTCCGAAAACAAGAACACAAGTAAAAGAAATCGCTGTAAATAATTTTACCTGAGATAGCAACATACATTTACTTCCTCTGTTATTTTTGCTGCCTTCCACTTGGACCTAGACAAACTGGATGAGAAATGAATAGATGACTGTCATCGCAGAGCAAGCGCAGGTTCTTTTACTGACACCTCATATTCCTGATATGATCTTAATTTTTTGGGAAAATGAGCCAATTTCTACATTGAGCGTGGGAGGGGTGTCCTCACTAACACGGTCTGACAGTTGCATTTCTAACATTTCTAAAGACATGATCAACTTGAGGCCTGTTAGCAGGGAGCCACCACTTATGGGTACAGGTGGTGCCTTGTTCCCTCACACACATAAACCTGAACCCTGCATGCAATCACTAATGTATTTACCATGGGCATGTGTTAAACTGCTCTATTATCACAGATGAACTGATAGTAGGTCTGCACTAGGCTGGGGCCAAGAAATGCACTTGTTGTGACAGGAAGGTTACTGATTAAACATCTGAATCAGCTGGGAAAAATCAGTGAGGGGGGAAATGTAATGTACAATGGCATGGAGCTTTCCAATCAATCAATAAGGGCAATACAGTTGCCAGTGTCCGCAGCTGGCAATCCCAAAGTGCAACGACAAAGCAGTGCAATGTATATAAAATGTTGTATGCACAGTAAAAAGACACAGCTTGGGGCTGTAAATAAAAACCACTATCTGCTGGTTTGAAGTTTGTACACAGACCGACTCACCTGTGACATCTGGGGCCTGAAATTGATCTCCTTCAGGTCCACTGATCCTGGCGAGAGGTTGTGTAACATCTGGCACAGAAGCACTCCGTCTCGCAGGGCTTGTGCCAAGTCGAACACGACCGCCGAGGGCCACACGACCCTGTGGTTCGGAGGCAAGACCTTGCAGTCTATCAACCACCGCCCGCATTGTCTCCACTCCTCCATATCGACTCCGGAGACTCCCTTCACAAAGTAACCGAGTCCACAGCGAGCCAAAAGCGGCGTTTCACGGCGCACAAACAGGTACTACGGTCGGTTCCCTGATGCCTTAATCATTCAATATCCGCTCGAAAATCTGGCAATTTCACTACTTTGTGTTAACTGTTGTCGGTCACCGCACTATATCTCCATTCCAAACGCATGTCAGCTCTACTGTCTTCTGAACATGTAAAGATGAACGCTTGAAAAGGGCTAAAACAATAACACCGCTTCAACTGATTATGTTCAGCAGATGTAACCACAAAACAGAAACGTGCTACGGGGATTTTCTTCTCTTCATCCTTAAAAAGTTTCCTCAGCATATCCTAACCAAAATGCGTGAAACAAAGGTGAAATAAAACCGCTGGGTGCAGCGGTTTGTCATATATCGACTTCACTAGTGTCTCACATTTGAACCAACCAGCACAGCCTACTACAGAATGTGGAAAAACAGCATTTCAGGTCTGTTTAGTTACTGAAGCAAAAGTCCGGGGTCACCAACCACATTTGCATTTAGCGTTTCCTCACAAGTTAAACGTCACAAAGAGAACTTCCAGTAGTTTCCAAGGCAAAAGATTATGAAAAAGAGGTAATACACAGACCAGTCCGTCTATAGCACTAGGATGCCCCTATTTCCACAAACCAAGC